CAGGCCCCAGCGCCCGGGCCCCCTGACACTCAGCGAGGGCTGGGGGCTCCCGTGGGCGCGGGGCAGCCGAGTGACAGGTGCCGCTGCCCCTTCCCCGCCGCGGGCTTCGCGCTGGCTCCCGGGGAGCCGGGCGCTCGGAAATTTCTGGAGCGATTTTCTGACGCGGTTTTCTTGTTTTCAGGTCTTGAAGCCGCTTCTCTGCCCGAGTTCGGTCTGGTCCAGCCCGATTGCTTTCTCTGTACTTTGTGCCGCTAAGTTTTGGAGCACCAGTTCCCAGCCTCTGGGTGAATTTCGGCTTTCATTCATGAACGAGGTAGCGTGAATTACTTTTTGAATAAAGTGCTCCTCCTCCTCCCCGCTCGCTGTTGAAAAGTAAACGGAGAAGGGTTTTGAATTTTGTTTTGGTTTGCGTTGGGCTGTTATTGTGGAGAACGGCATTCTTTTACGAATTTTTTTCTCATCTCTAGCCTTTAGGGGAGATCTCGAACCGCAGTGACAGAAAGGGCTTATTCACTTGTATTTTCTCTCCACCTTCTTTTGGATATTTCTTTCTTACCTGAGCCGGATTTTACAGCTGAGCAGGTGCTCTGGCTGGCTTTCATTAGAAGCACTAGTGAAAGATTATCATGACTGAAAAGCCAGTGGTTTTTCTCCCTTCATCATTCAGCCTTATATGCTTTATGTAGGAAATGTGCTCGTGGTGGTAACCTGAGTCATCAGTTTAACAAATTGGACTTTAAGAATAGTAGAGAAACTTTATGCAAATTAAAATATTAAACATTTTTGCTCTAAGGAAATCTCGATTTTTTTCCTCAACAGGTTTATAACATTATAGCTGCTATTGATCAAATCCTAACCAATGAAAGATGTTGTTGTCATAAATGGTTACAGTAAGCTGTCAATAGGAGACCAATCTAGTGGCTTCCCTTTGTGGACTGAAAACAAGAACCGAGATGTTAAACATTGGAGCAAATGAAACACTTTTACTTTATTCATGGGAATATCCCTTGACTCTCACTCAGTATCTGCCTGTACTTTCTGCTTAGAATTTTCAGGCTACAGAAATTAAAAGCAGCAGATCTGTGGTGGTGGGGGTTGGGGAGGGGATTGGGGCAGCAATAGGTAACTATGGAAAAAAAATGAAATTTAAGGCCTAGCTGTTAAGTTCATTTGGTTAGGAAGGAGCATGTGAAGAGCAAAGCTTTGGTATGCTCTTGACATTTGTTGGCTGTAAACTTTACAAAAAGCCAGAGTGAAAGATACTGCGTAGTTTGAGGAATAGATCGAGAAGTAATACCATTAAGATACTTTATCTAGTATTAAACCATTGACATTAGTGTCATTTTATTTTGTGCTAAATTTTTAATGTTTGAACGTTAAGTTACATTTCATTGAGGCCACACTCATTGACATCTACTTTGTACTAAATTTTTTGGAATCAGGCTAACTGATAGAGTTAATGAAAGATGGTTATCAGTAATTTTTTTTTTTTTAAAGATTTATTTGTGCATACAGAACTGGGGTACAGGCCAGAGGCTCAGGGGCGGCGAGAGGCTTCACCAGAGACAGAGTGGGGAGCAGAACAGGCAGATTCACGAAGAACACTGCTGAGGGGAGCAGCGGGCGGGTCAGGAGAGATCTGCCGCGCCATGTGGTCACCTCCAGGGCAGGCGGGAATCGAACTCATGCGGAAGCGGCTTTAGATTCTCAGTGTTGTGCTTTAACCCGCTGCGCCACCAGGGAGGGCCGGTTATCAGTAATTTTATAAAAAAGATAGATTTGGTTGTTTCTGACTGAGAATTATATCCATACATCAGTCTGAAGTGCCCTAATTGTAGTCCCCTGCACTGAGGTATGCTGTCAGTACCATCTTTCTTGACCCTAGACAAGTCATAGTTTAGAGAGATGAGGTCACAGTGGGAGAGGCTCTCAGAACTCAGGAAAGGAACTCAGGAGTAGCAGCCATTTAGAAATCTTACTGCCAGCAGTTTAGGCTATTCATTTAAAAAGTGTTTAAGCACCTGATGTATCATAATTCTTTCTGATCAGCATTTTAATACTCTACAGTCCCTGAACAAAATTACTTGTAATGGTTAGAGTGACACTTAGAATAAAACAACTTTGATCTGCTCATATATCATTGTTAATTCACTTGTGTTATTGGAATTAGGAATTACTTATAGGGCATTTTGCATTTTCTTTTGCACTTTCCTATGGTACTAAGTTTACAGCATAAACTGTGTCCTTGAGGAATGTAAAAACAACAGCAAAAAAACAAAATTGGATAACTTTATCTTTCATGTGCCAGGTCCTGTTTATATTTTAGGGAGGAGGCCCTTGTCTTTTGGGATGTTGAAATCAGGATTATAGGAGCAGACATAGCAGTAAACATAATTTTAATGGGAGTGCATTCAATAATAAGGTAAATATAAAATAACAAAAATATATTACAAAGGAATCATTAATTTGGGACAGGTTAGAGAAAAAGTCATAGAGATGCCAACATCCTGTCAGTAGTTTGATGACTGAATTCAGCTTTTAAGTGGAAGAGATAAAGGTTTTTTTTTTTTTAAAGATTTATTTATTTATGCATATACAACTGGGGTGCAAGCCAGAGGTGCAGGGGTGGTGAGAGGCTTGACCAGAGACAGTGTTTGGAACAGAACAGGCAGACTGACGAAGTACACTGCTGAGGGGTGCAGCGGGTAGGTCAGGAGAAGTCTGCCATCTACTGTGCCATATGGGTCGCCTCTGGGGTCAGGGGTCAAACTTGCACTGAAGGGGCTGCAGCTGACTTGCTTCCAGGGAAGGCCCGAAAAAGGGTATTTTTAAAAAAGATTTATTTTTATTTATGCATACAAAAGCTGGGGTGGAAGCCAGAAGGTGATGGTGGGGTAGTGAGGATGATAGGATTCACCAGAGACAGAGTGGGGAGCAGAATAAGCAGATACACTGAAATATACTGAGGGGAGCAGTGGGCAAGATATGACAGGTCTACTGTGCCATGTGGGTCAGCTCTCTGGCTGGGATCCAACTTATGTCACAATGGCTGTTGATAGCTTGATAGTGCTGAGCCTCCAGCCCCTGCTCCACAAGGGAGGTCAGATGAGGGCTTTATTTATGCATACAGAACTGGGGTGCAGGCACAGTGAGAGGACTCGCCAGGGACAGATTGGGGAGCAGCACAGGCAGATCTACAAAGTACACTGCTGAGGAGAGCAGCAGGTGGGTCAGGAGAGGTCTGCCATCTGCTGGGCCACATGGATCACCTCAAGGACTGGGGTTCGAACTTGCAGTGAAGAGGCTGAGGTTCTTCAGTGCTGCACTTTAATCCATTACGCCACTAGGGAGAGCCCTAATGAAGGCTATTTTAGGCAAAAGAAATCCATAAAGATATGAACAACTGAAGCTAAAGGTGTGTTCAGTAAACTTTAGGTAGGTTTTTTTTCTGGAGTATAAAGCGTAAGGAAGGATAGTTGCAATAGGAACTTTAACATATTAATACTTAGTAAGTAAAATAACTTGTTAGTTGAATATATATAAAATGGAGACCACTAATCTGACATTGCTTCAGTCTCAAGTATAGAGGATTTATTTGGTTTTACTAATGATATTTAAGAAAATATAGAATATATGGCCCTCCCTGGTGGCACAATGGATTAGGACGCAGCATTGCAAGCTAGCAGCAGCTACTTCAGTGTGAGTTCAATCCCTGGCCCTGGGACTGACCCATATAGCGCAGCAGACCTCTCCTGTCTCTCCTGCCGCTCCCCTGTCGATCTGCCTGTTCTGCTCCCCACTCTGTCTCTGGTGAAGCCTCTCACTGCCCCTACACCTCTGGCCTATAGTTCTGTATGCATAAATAAATCTTAAAAAATATATGGAATATTATATGTGATGAGCTGCCTACATATTTATATTTGTGAATTTATGTTTCTTCAACATTTTGATCTGATAAATTTATCTTGTGAATTTTCTTTTCTTTCACCTACTTAAATTTGCCTTTATTTTTTAAAAAAGACTCTTAAGGGGGAAACATACAAAATAATCATTAGAGTTCTGGACTAAGCCTAATTTGCTTAGTATTATGGTAATATGTGAATGTTTAATATATAGTACTAGCCACCACCTTCATATACTGATCAACATAGGTGATTTAATATTTTTGCATTGTATTTCTTAAATTTGTCCATATCATTTATGTGTATACATGTCTGAGATTTTTAAAGACCATGGGAGAGAAAAATAGAAGAAATAGGGGAGTATCATTTGTTTACCTCTTAGGTATGCAAAAAATTAGGACACAAGACTGATGGACTTTTAACCCTAGTCATGCATTTAAGTAGTATTTTTAAAAAGCCCAGTGTTTTTGTGGTCTGCCTGTTATCTCCTTTCCTTTTCAAGATTAAAAATGTTAAAAATGTTTTTGCTGACCCTCCCTGGTGACGCAGTGGGTTAAAGCACAGCACTGAGAATCTAAAGCCACTTCCACATGAGTTCCATTCCCGCCTGCCCTGGAGGAAATCCACATGGCGATCCACATGGTGCGGCAGACCTCTTCTGACCTGCCGGCTGCTCCCCTCAGCAGTATACTTCGTCGATCTGCCTATTCTGCTCCCCACTCTGTCTCTGGTGAAGCCTCTCACCATCCCTGGGCCTCTGCCTATACCACAGTTCTGTATACACAAATAAATAAATCTTTTTTTTTAAAAATTTATTTATTTACTCACATAGAACTGGGGTACAGGCCAGAGATGTGGAGGGTGAGAGGATTCACCAGAGACAGAGTGGGGAGCAGAAGAGGCAGATTGATGAAGTACACTGCTGAGGGGAGCAGTGGGTGGGCCAGGAGAGGTCTGCCTTGCCATGTGGACTCCTCCGGGGCAGGTGGGAATCGAACTCATGTGG